TTTTGGAGGAATTCTCAATCACCTAGGAAATAGACCATTCGATAAATAGTATTTTGATATCTCTCTGTGTGAAATAGCTAAGGTATTGAAAGGTCAGAATGTACCCGAGTTTAAGGGCTAGTTCATTTAGCAACCACAACTTTGCTAAGTTTCCAATAAATCAGCAAACTCTAAAGTGTCCTGGTACTTTCTACTGCACATGATGGCTAACAAAGCAAGTGTACGGTGGGTTATTTGTTGAGCTCATTTCTTTCTCAGATTCCTGAATGGAAACATTCCTTTATACATTTGCCTTCCTATTATATACATTCCACTCGCGGTTCCCCAGATTAAGGATTTTATTGCCCTTCCTTCTGAATTTCAAAGAGTAGATATAAAGTTGTTTTAACTTGTCCATATTGATTTTTACAAGTGTTAAATATTTGAACACAGACGTGAATGTTTTCTGGATTGGGGAGTCCACTCTGCCCAGTACGCTTGATTGACTATGGTGAATGTTCACAGCCCTTGAGTGTTTTTCTGTTTTAAGACTACACTGTTCTCAAACCTTTCCTGAATTTCTGGTACACGCACATGCCTTCTCCATCACCATTCACATTTATAAACCCTCTACCTAGATGTCCACTGGGAAGACTTGTGTTGAATTAATTTTTTTCTAAAAACTCTTTCAAATTGTAAGAGACGCAATAAAACCCTTAAAGCAAGGGAATGAAAAACCAAAAGAATATAATTCTGGTTTTTAAAAGGAGGAGGTATTTCATTTCAACATTGGAAGCCTTTCCATCTCTCCTCAATACATGTAAGAAACACAGCCCCTATCTGTGTTTCTTTGACAAGAAAACTCTTGTCAAAAGTTTTCAGCATTAGTCAAATCTCAGGCAACTGTTGTAAAAAGAAAACAACAAATAAATTAAAAGAGCTTTTTATAGACAGTTTTATTTTAAAAATAAACTTTATAATGTATCCCAGTTTAAAACATTTTTTTTGCCTTTTCAGTTTTGGTTATTTGTTTATTTATTCAATTATTTTTGTTTTTCTTTTTTTTAATTTATTTATTTATTAAAAATTTCTGTCTCTTCCCCGCCACAGCATCCCATTTCCCTCCCCCTCCCCCAATCAAGTCCCCCTCCCTTGTCAGCCCAAAGAGCAATCAGGGTTCCCTGCCCTGTGGGAAGTCCAAAGACCACCCACCTCCATCCAGGAGAGAGAGCACGAGTAAAACATATTTTAAATAATTAATAAAAAACAAGGGATACATCCAGAAAGAGTAAGAAATAGATAAAATCCAAAGGGGGAAAGATGCTAAACCTTCAGGGCCGAAGGCATCCCTAGTCCCAGTGCACATTAAGGTATATTCCCTAACTGAGCAAGTGTTCTGGTCTCTTTTAACTCCCAAAACTAGACTTCTATAGGATTGTAATCCATTTCTTTGTTCTAACTCAAAAAAGAAAAGAAAAAGAGAGGAGGCTTGTCAATCTATCTGCTCCCATTTGAACAGTTTACTGAGGAACTAAAAGCATTCTGGGGATAAACACATGGTAAGTCAAGACAAGCATATGTCTGTCAAAGTGTAACAGAGACAGAGACAGAGGAACAAGTGTGGTGCCCTGAGTGATCCTGAAGACAAACGTGAAGACTTTTGATGAAAACAGAAAGCATCAGAGTATTTGAAATGAACTGCAAACAGGCTTATATTGCTTAACCTCTGGAGCCCGCTTTCATTTCCATCCTACGACTGAACTGTCAAAACTTTCAGCCTTGTGTTTCCATGTAGCAGAAATAAAGAAGAGAGTGCAGGCCTTGGCTCCTAGGGCAGCTTTGTGCTCTGGTGTGGAAGGGGATGAAAGGACTTACTGACGCTGGTAAGTCCCTGAAGGAGAATCGTGGTCACAATCTAGGTCAGGTTTCTAGATCTGAAGAGCATTGGAATTGCTCTTTGTGAGTTCTCCCGAGAAATGGTAGAGCTACGGGTTGGAGATGGTAGCAATAGTTCCCAAGATCCGAGTATGATTCAGCTTTCTCTCTGCCACCTCCCCTTTCATGAGTGCCTGGTAGCCCCTGCATTAGTGCCTAGCCCCTCTGGTGACCCTCTGAATGAGCACCATTATGCTTAAAGAAGAATAATGAGACTCTCCCCCAGAATCTTCTACCCTAATGAAAGCAAATCGCACAAAAATGCAAAAGCAAGTTCTGGAAGTTGACCAGCTGCCCTCAGGTGTGGGTGTACCACTGTTGTTAAACAGGAAAATCTGGTGCCGTGGCACACACCTTTGATCCTACCCTTGAAAGGAGAGACAGGAGTGCCAAAGTTGACAGTCACTCTCTACTGAAGATAGTAATCTAGACCAGCCTGTGGTACGTAAGACCTCTGTAAAACCAAACAATAAAAAAAAAGCCCATTTAAGTTTTAATGCGGAAAAATAAAGAAGGGTTTGGATAAACAAATCAAGCTTTCATTTGAAATCAACCGCCTACACCGTAATAAATCATCTTAGGACAAATTACGAAGCAATTACAAACAAACTGAAAAGAGGTTTCTGTTGTCAATATTTTCTCTTGTCTTTTATTTCCTTGAAAATTTTGTGGAATACAACCACTAAGATGAATGCTTAATAAAACTCTTATTGGCGACTATCAATGATTGAATGAATTGCCCAAAGAATGAATTAATCAACAATCATGTTTATTTTCTTAGGCTTTAGCCTGAGATAAAAATCCTCTCTACCCAAATACTGCGTAAAGCCTCTCTTTTTGTTTAATGCACACGTAGGGACACAGCTACATGAATTGTTTTCCTGCTCACTATGGCCACATCATGACCCCATCTTGTCTGCTTGGCACTCAAACAAACAAGTAGTGCCACCACCATCAGCAGTGACAACTGATCAAACTGCCAAATTCAAGCTTATTTTCCTTCATCCCACACCAACCTCCTGAAGGCAAGGGACTGAATTAAATATACTCTCTAAAATATTTGTAACTGTTAATCCCAAGTTATAATTGAAGTCTAATAGTTTCTTTAGACATAATTGGGATCTAATAGTTTCTCTCCATTTCGTAGGTCATATAGATGTGTCTCAAGTTCTTCTTATGCTTATGGTGTGAAAAGAAATCTCAACCTGCCAATGGTCACCTTGTCTCCACCACTCTTAGATGTTCTGATAATATTTAAGACTCTCAGGCTCTATCTATACTTGTTGTCATTTTTCCCCTCTTTACTTAGTTCAAAAAAAATTGCACTTAAATTTTGGAATAGTGAGGGTTACCTATTGTCTGTCTGTCTGTCTGTCTGTCTGTCTGGCTGGCTGGCTGGCTGTGGGAAGTAGCAGGCAGTGTCCTTTATACAATCATGAATCTAACTGCAACTTTCTTCTCTTTTACGTCTTTTTCCCACCCCAGGGAATCTCACCAGGGTTATCTCCAGCAGCTCTTGGTTCACTTGAAATCCATTTTCCCAATTGTTGTCCAGGCTGTAATGTTCAAAATCTCCAACTCTAATCATTTGTTTTTTATTTTTGTGATGTCATACTTGCAGGTATACATCTAATGCAATGCTTAGTATAAATACTCATTATAATAATAGACTGTTTTCTTCAGTTAGTAACAAGAGCACCGTCCAGAAAAACTGTGCTAGAGTTCATTAAACTGATCAAAGACCCTCTCCCTACATCCTTGTTTACATACTATATGCAAAATTACTGTTTTAAATTTTACAGTAAAATATGTGATGTTGATCCCTACTTCTTTGGTTAATAAAAAGATGGATCAGTTCCCTTCCTGTGGGTCTATGCGACATTTGTATTTTATTATTTAAGCACATGTATAACTGATCCACTCTGCTTATGGACTTGTAAGAGAGCCCCCTGTGAAAAACTCGCTAAACTCACTGTTGTATTGCCAGCGTTCTCCTGCTTTATTGCTTTTCTTGAGCAGGGTTTGAAATGCAGAAACTTAAACTGCTTGCATCTGATTTTGAGATTCCAGTCCTCGCTCTCTTTCATTGCAAGATGAGAAAGAACCGCCCCCCCCCCAGGCTAGTTTAAGCTTTTGAAATTCAAAGCATTAAGTTTCTTAATAAAGACATTACATTTAGAGTACAAGAACGGAATATCAATTAAATTTTATTATTTATTTGTTTTGGCATCATTATCTAATAATCTTTGCCTTGTGTCTAAATTCCAGTACTTAAATCACTGTAGATGGCTAATGGGGATTATATCTGGTAGAGAAAGCTTACCTTTATTGCAATTTTTAACTTACTGTTTTTCAAAAAAGAAATTTTTGATTCATTTACCCTTCCAGGTGAAATTCTGAAATTTTTTTTGAATATCTGGCTTATTATTAGGTCTTCCCTGACTTTTGCCCTCCCGACTCAAACCATCCAATTCACCCTGCATCTTAATAGAGTCTAACCAACCTGAAGTTCAGGTACAGGCACAGATGATAATGGTGATGCTGTTGTCTTGGTTACCATGTACTCTGGAAGTTGCAGACTTCAGATGTTTTGTCAGTGGTTTTATAGGATTTTTATTGTAGGAGAGAACTTTTGTTTTCATTATTATTATTGTTTTTATTATTATGTTTTGTTTGAGAAATGATATCCTGGACCCTAGGTTGATCTTGAACTCACTATATAGGCAAGGGTGACTTGAGCTTCTGATGTTTCTGCTTTGCGATTAGTATGCCCCCCAAATTATGATTGGATATGATACTGACAGATTACATAGCATCATAGATCCTACAAACGGAGATTCAATGCCAGGTCCTTGGTTTTGATTTTTGAACTAAGGTTTTCACATTGTAAACCAGGCTGACCTGAAGCTTACAATGCAGTCCGGACTCATAATTTGAGCTCGCCGAAACGCTCCTATCTCAGCCTTGTGAGTAATGGAGTTTACAGAGAAGACCTATGCCTGCCTCCGAGTTTGGCTTTTTACTAGGAGAGTTATTTCAGATTAGTCCCCAGAGGGAATAAATGAGTTCTCCCCTTGTCTTTTTAGAGTGTGGAAGGGGAGCACCACGAGAAAGCTGTGGAGCTACTCAAGGCTGCGAAGGACAGTGTGAAGCTGGTGGTCAGATACACCCCAAAAGTCCTGGAGGAGATGGAGGCTCGTTTTGAAAAGCTGCGGACAGCCCGGCGCCGGCAGCAGCAACAATTGCTCATTCAGCAGCAGCAACAGCAGCAGCAGCAGCAACCACAACAAAACCACATGTCATAGGTGAGACCCTCCCATCTCCCTGCATGCGAGCACCTCACTGCCTAAAAGTAGCTCCTGGGGCAGCTGAAATAAAACTGTCAGGCATAAGAGACACTCCAAAGAGATTAATCAAATGAAAGGCAATAGTGTCCAAAAATATAAACAAGTTATCCCATTTCCATGTGTCTTTCAGCTACAGTCTCTGCATATGTAAGGTATTTGGGGAAATAATGTCCTGCGACAGGGGTAAATACTGACTCCAGGATGCATTTTTATAAACCCGGGCAATGCATCCTTTTTGCCAAAGTAGGAATGGGAGTTGATTATAGTGCCCACTCATGCCCTTGACTGGTAGTTTTCACCCAGTACAGTGCTATTCCTGGCTTCATATACTTTAGATGAGAGAGATACAGAGTATTGGAAACGTGTTCCACATCAAGAATGAAGTAGCAAAATGACAGCTAACACAATTTGACTTCCCAAAGGTTTTGAAATACATCTGACTCTTACCTTCTCCCAAATTTCACTTCACAACAAGAAAGGATAAATTAAGTTTCACATATATTTTCAAGAAAAAATGTGTTAATAGTAAAATTTGTCACTTTTGAAGTGTTTATTATGTGTTAGGGATACCTTTATCGCATACCACTAAGCCTCTGAAGAAACAACCATTCTAGGAAATTAACATTAAAGCCACGTCCTAGTCAGTGTTCTGTTGCTGTGAAGACACTACCATGAACACAGCAACCCTCATAAAGGAAAACATTTCACTGCGACTGGTTTACAGTTTCAGAGATTGAGTCATTATTATCATGGGGGCACATAGGCAGACGTGGAGCTGGAGAAGGAGCTGAAAGTTCTACATCTGGATCCACAGACAGCAAGCAGAGACTGCCACACTAGGTCTAGCTTGAGCATATAAGTCCTCAAAGTCTACCCCCATGGTGACGTACTTCCTCTAACAAGGCCATACCTACTCCAAGGCCACAGCTCCTCACAGTGCCACTTCCTGTGAGCCAAACATTTAACGACCTGAGTCCATGGGGACCATTCCTATTCAGACCACCACAAACCACATCTTTGAGATGAGCAGTCTAAAGCTGTGATCAGCCACTATTAAAAAGTAGCTTGAAATTGTGGTTCTTCTTCCTCAAGTGTAGGATGCTCTAAAGTTATTTTTTTCCAAGCTATTCACTGAAAAAGAGCAAATTTATCATTAGGTATTTTGTACTATGTTGTCTTTAAATGTGCCTTGATAAGGATGTTCAAATGTTCACAGAAAAGTGACAATAAGTAATGATGATTTTCCATTTTGTCATATTGGTTTATTGTTTGCTTAAAAGAAATGCTGAATAAGACATGAGACGTGTCTTTTTTTTTTTTATAAAGTGACACTTGTGACAAAGGAAAGCTACATGGTGAGTTTTTTTTTTCTCTCTGAGTATATTCAGGGACTGCAGAGAGGGCTGAGTAATAAGAGCACATTCCAGCTTTGCAGAGAAGCTGGATTTGGTTCCCAACACCTACATCACGGAGCTCACAACCACCTGTAATTCCAGCTCCAAGTTTTCTGATGCTTTTCTCTGGCTCCTGAGAGTATATCACAATCATAATATACATATAGATAATTAGACATGCAAGAGATAAATTAACTAAATAATGAGATAATACACATATACATACATTTTTTAAATTATATTTCTTCCCCCAAAGTATTTTGATTCAATACCACATGCCTTTTAGCACAATTGTGGCCAGGCACTGTCCAGGGAGCAAAACACTTTATCTTCATGGGGCTGCGTTCTGCTTAGAGGGGATAATTAATAACTAAGCAAGAAAATAAGTCTACATCCTTTTGGGAGCAGTACTTTGAAAAGTTAAATGGAGACTGTTTGAATGGACTCTAGCTAGGTGGTCAGTTAAGACACAAAGTTCTCAAAGGGAAAAGCATCTGAGATGAAACTGAATGCCAAGGGGCAGCCCCCAAGGACATAATAAGGGAAGAAATGGCCAGTGCGATAGTGTATGAGTGGTTTGTATTTGAAGAACAAAAAGAAGACCTTAAGAGGTGGGAACAATGAGTGATAATGACAGTGGTGGGCTGTGAGGTCAAAAAGATGTGTAGGGACTGGGTACAGAAAGCCTCCACACCCTATTAAAGAAATTAGATTTTATTGCAATGGGACATGATGAAGGTTTTTAAGCAAAAAGGTGGCATGATTTGATTTATGTTCTATAAAGGTAATTCAGCTTCTGTGACAATAGAGAATTACAGGGTTATGATGGAAAGAGACAAGTTGGATATATATATATATATATATATATATGAAAGATACAGTGATCCGGGCAAGGGATGGATTGGCATAAACTGTGTGGTTGGGATAAATACAATGAATAGACTAGACATTTTGCCTAAAGATTTATCCTCAGTTACTGATTCAGTAGTCTCAGAATTTTATCAAAAAGTCCTTTTGGTAGTAGAGGAAATCCATGATTCTCTAATCAATCGCTAGCGTGCGTTCTGCTAATGCTACTGTTTCTTCTATTCCTGGTATTACAGGCTCATAGCTATTCTCCTGGGTGATTTATGATGTTTGCCCTGAGTAAAATTGCCCAGGGATATTTTGAAAGTAGTATGTGTCAGTCAGACTTCTGAGAGCTTACTGTGAAAGCTGCCCATGTTTTGCTACTTCAGTTATCTTTGGAAATACACAAGTTGACATATATAGTCATTTGTATTTCTAGTCCCTGTTCCCTCCTTATTAAGTCACTTCAAGATTTCCTACAGCTCATTAGAAATCCACTTGCATATTTTACCAGTAAACAAAAGCACCAGGGGTCTTTTGTTGTTGACACAGAATGTGGGAGAGTTCTGTTTGCTTGAATATGATCTTTGTATCTATGCCCATAAAGAGAGCTGGTGCAGTACACAGAGACAGTCCCTTGAGATTGAGTGTGACCATTTTAAGAACAATCAAAGCACACCCAAGTCATGTCATTCAAGGATTTTACTGCGAATACAGTCAAAAAGACCCACATGAGCTCTTGTTTATGTTTTAATTACCTTGATCTTTAAGCAGTCAGAAAAGATTTACAACACTTACTAATTTATACTACAGTCATTTTTAAGGATTTTCAAGCTTATTAAATCTGTTTGACTGGAAGCATATCTTTGAGATTTTTTGTTGCCATTCAAGTCAAGACCAGATAATCAAATCAGAATAGCTGTCAGATACAGTCTCACTGCTTATCAGATGAAATATAACTTCATATTCTCTGAATCAGAGGTAATGTATGTTATCTGAGAAGTTTGAAATTATGAAGTCACTGTGAATGGAAAACGGATAAGAAAGAAAAGCAGATGGAATGTAAGTCAGACAGGGTTTATCTTCCATACCCACTTGAATTTTATATCCTGCCAAACTAAAATTGTCTTTTATCCTCATTAGATTAGATCCCATTTCCAAAAATGTAAATATATGAATATTCCAAAGTTACATGAAAGAAATCTAAACATACAATTTGATTATAGGGTTTGTCGTGTGATGGCACTTCTTTCAGAGTGTACTGTGTTTATTCATCTTATACAGATTTTTAGTTTGAAAACACGATTTCATGTGTACACTTGGATTTTCACTCTGACTTTCAAAGAATAAAAAATCAAGAGGAACACTAACACTTTTTCATATGTTAACTGTAATGGTTTAGATAAAACGACGCAGTTCCCCAAGGGGCAGCAGTGGTGAGCCATGATGGGTAGCCAGGTCCCACAACCCGTGGCCTCTGTGGGTCCCAGGTGGGTGGGAGGCAGTGTGTGAGAGACAGGGCAGCCAATCCCACTGGGAGCTGTGGTAGATGAGAGACATGGACAAATAGGCATGCCATGCAGAAAGAGGTTTGGGTATAGTCTATTCGGTGGGTTATAGGAGGAAAGGGAAGGGAGCGAAGGAGGGGAGAAAGGAAGGGAGGGAGGGAAGGAAAGAGAGAACGAGAGAGAGAGAGAGAAGAGAGAGAGAGAGAGAAGAGAGAGAGAGAGAGAGAGGGGGGAGAGAGAGAGAGAGAGAGAGAACACAGAGAGAGAGAGAACACAGAGAGAGAGAGAGAACAGAGGGGGGAAGGGGGGACGGCTGCCACCTCTTCCAAAGAGAGACAGGACAGAGTTCAGGAAGTGCCTCAGAGGAAGGGGGGTATGGGCAGGGTTTGTCTCTAAAGTGCCCTCTCCCACTTCCCCCCTTCCACCAAGGCAAGCAGATTTTTCTTCCTCTTTAAGCCTGTATTCTCTCTGCCCTGTCTCTCTTCAGAAGAGATGACTGAGGTCTCTTCTCCTTTCTGCCTCTCTCTCTCTCTCTCTCTCTCTCTCTCTCTCTCTCTCTCTCTCTCTCTCTTTCTCTTCTTCCCTTTTACTGAGCAAACTATAACCAAACTCACTCTGTATGGTGTGCCTGTCCATCTCTGTCTCGAACCCGCCAGGGATCCTCATGGGACACAGCTCCCCCTAGTGGCCCGCCCGCTGCCACCCCTCGAGGAAAGGCACCATTTTATTTAAACCATTGCATTACTAGTCCAAGAAAAGTTCCAAGACCAACGCCTGTTCCTGCACTCCAGTGTTGGGCAAGGATAGGACAAAGAATTCATCAACTATGAAACCGTGACAAACCCCCACATATGAACATAGGAGTTGGCATTTGCCATCTGCCTCACTGACCCTACCATCTGCTCTTTACACCTGTTCCTTTTACTTCATCATTTCTGAAATCTTTCTCTACCTCCTGTTAATACCAAGGAGTTGTTGCCAAAACCACCGATCCAGCCACTGGGAACAGTAGATCCCATAGGGTGACCCAATAAAAGCAAATATGAGGAATCCAGAGTCCATCAAGTAGAAATCTGAAGCAGAAGTAACAAGAACGCTAATGTTTATGAAACAATACAAGCAAGAACTCTTTCTGAGGAGAGACACGAGGCAATACAGAGTAAAGGTTTGACAGTGTCAACACCAGGCAGCAGGCCCAGGCCACACCACACTGGGAGACAGCATCAGTACCAGTCAGCAGGCCGTGGTGACAACAGTGGTGTCCAGGACTATCCAGAACAGGAGCCTCAGCCCCAGTTCTGCCTGCACCTAGCGGAGCAACCACTGGAACTGAGACACCGCCTGCACCTGGAGGAGTGACCGCGGGAGCTGTGAACATCTGAGTTTTGGGCCTATATACACATGGAGAAGCCATCACCGAAACGCTCAACCTTGCCTGTAACTGAAGGGAGCGTTGAAGGGAATCAAAGACTCCAGCTTAACCAATTGGAGGAAGAGGAACTCCAGAAGAACAGGCTCCACCTGAACCAAGTGGAGGAAAAGACATGTAGACAGTAAGGTAAGAATATACTCAACAACACAATTAGAAGTAGAGCACCATCAGAAACCAGTAGTTCTAGAGCAACAAGACCTGAACATCTGAACATCCAAACATAGTTGAAGCAGAAGAAAATGTCATTAAAAATAAATTTACCAGGCAATTAAAGCTCTTAAAGAGGAAATGAAAAAATCCTTTAAAGAAATGGAAGAAAGGACAAATGAAAAATTGGAAGAGATCAACAAATCCCTTAAAGAAAACCAAAAAGAAAAGCAATCAAACAGATGAAGGACTTAAACAGGTTCATGACTTAAAAACTGAAATAGAGGCTATACGGAGAACACAAACTGAGGGAACTCTGGAAATGGAAAATCTGGAGAAATGATCAGAAACTACAGTTGCAAACATAAACAACAGAATGCAGGAGATGGAAAAGAGAATCTCAGGCATTGAAGAGTCAATAGAGGAAATAGATTCATCGGTCAAAGAAAATGTTAAATTCAACAAATTTTAAACACAAAATATCTGAATAAAATGCTGTCTTAGGAAGATTAAATAAGAAAGGAGAACTATGTAAGTCAATACAACACATCAATTAGGGACCATTTCGTACATTTCAGTCATGATAAACTGTTGCTACTGATACTGCAGGGGTTAAAATGCTGATGGAATTTACACTTTATACAATGCAGGAAGGCAATTTGCTTCTGCCCAGTGGCCTCTTACACGTCTGTGTGTATTCTGTAGCCCCTGTGCTTGCTGGCACATCACTAGAAGACTTTCAGCCAGTGGGTCAGTGAAGAGTAGGCAGAACAATTTGTCGGAAATCTATTTTGTGCATTTGGGGGCATTGACCGAAGCAAAAATAGCAGCATCCTTAAAAACAGGGATTGGGAGAAATGATTCTGTACTAGCTGAAGTGCAACAGTTCTGAGGGAGGGGTTCAGGGGAGCAGCACCCCCAAATCTGGACAGACAGATGACACTGCCTGTTCTACGTGGTGTCAGACTGACCTAGGGGGAGGGCTGGCACTTAATTTCTGCCTCTGACAAGGGATATTGGTGTTTCCCACTGGTCAGCCAAAGGCTTTGAAGGCTTCCATCTCAGGAAAGGCATTGCTAAATGCTGTGGTGTTAGTTATAGTTACACTATGAATGCTACTTGGATTTTTTTTTTTTTTGCCTTCATGGAGAGAATTAGAATCATCTAGAACTTATAGGAACAAATGTTAAGTATTTGAAATGTTTCCAAACTCAATTCTTTATTTCATTTTGGGAAATGTTACAGCTTTTCCTGTCATGTCCATCAGTGACTTCCTTAATATCAGGGTTTTCTTGTTGTTGTGTTTTGTTTTGTTTTTTTCACATGTGGAAGACCATGAATGAATGATGATGCCCCACATAATCCAAGCCATTCTCACTGCGGTGGTTTCAATGAGAATGCCTCCCTGTCTTAGTTACCGTTATTATTGCTGTGATGAAACTTCACGACTAAAATTCACCTGGGGGGAGAAAAGGGTTTATTTGGCTCACATATCCTGAAACACAGTCCACTGAGGGAAGCCAAGTCAGAAACTCAAACTGGGCAGAAACCTGGAGGCAGGAGCTGATGCAGAGGCCGTGGAGGAGTGCTGCTTCCTGGCTGGCTTTCCATAGCTTGTTCAGCCTGTTTTCTTACAACACCTAGGACCCTACCAGGCTTTTTCTTTTGGACCACCAACCAACTCCTAAATCATGACACAGAGACTTCTTATTAGTTATGAATGCTCAACCTAGCTTAGGCGGTTCCTTTTCTTAGCTCTTTTGACTTAAATTAATCTGTTTTATTAAGTATACAGGCCAGAAGAGGGCACCAGATCTCATTACAGGTGATTGTGAGCCACCATGTGGTTGCTGGGAATTGAACTCAGGACCTTTGGAAGAGCAGGCAGTGTGCTCTTAACCACTGAGCCATCTCTCCAGCCCCTGTTTCTCTTTATCTACATTTTGCCTCTGGGCTTTTACTTTTCTTTCCTTCCGTACGTCTTACTTCCCTGTTTCCTGCAGTATCTGACTGGCTGGCAGACAGCTGTTTGTGTGGTTTCTTACCCCAGGCAGGTCCCTCACTTTCTTGCTCATTCTCTCCTCTCTCTCTCTCTCTCTCATTCTTGTTCTTTTCCTGAACCTAGGTTCCTCTTCCTGTTCCTTCTCTCTGCCTGCCAGCCCCGCCTATCCTTTCTCTGCCTAGCTATTGACCATTTAGCTCTGTATTGGACCAATCAGGTGCCTTAAGCAGGCACACTTTTACATAATTAAACACATATCCTTACATCGTTAAACAAATGCAGCATAAGCAAATTTAACACATCTTTATGCAGTTAAAGTAATATTCCACAGCATAAACAAATGTAACATAGCTTTACAAGTTAATATAAGTATATATACATATTCATATATTCCACAACTCTGTACCACTAGCCCAGGGGTGGTATCACCCACAATGGTCTGGGACCTCCCCATCAATCAGTAAAATGCTCTACAGCCTTGCCTACAGCCTGACTTGATGAAGGCATTTTCTCAGCTGAGATTCCCTGCTCTCCAATGCCTCCAGCCTATGTAGAATACATGATACTGTCCAGCACACCACCATCGTCTCCCATGTTTGAATGTTAGCTTCCCATTTTGTAGAACTGTTTTTGGAAGGATTAGTAAGTGTGGCCTTACTGGAGGAGGTGTACCATACAGGCAGGAGCTTTGAGATTTCAAAATATTACTATGCCCAGCTTCTCCCCACCCTGCCACTCTGCTTCCTGATTATGTGACTCCTCCAGTGCCATTCCTGCCTCCTTGATGCAATACTGTCCCCAAACAAGCTCATGGTCTCACCCTCTAAAATCACAAGCAAACCCCAATTAAATGCTTTCTTTCATAAGGTGCCTTTGTCACGGTGTCTCTTCACAGCAATAGAACAGTGACTAAGATATCATGTAGTGAATATTCTTGATGATTTTAGTGATTCATAGGTTAAAAAATGAATCCTAATCACTGATTTCTCTTTATTGTCTTCCTCTACCCAACTCCATTTTTAGGCCGTGAAGAAAAGCTACCAGGTCAACCATCAGACAGTCAAGAATTTGAAACAGTGCTCCAGAATCCCAGCACATAGAAAAAGGGAAAGGCAACACCAATAACTGCACCCGTCACAAAGCTGTGAACACGTGCTGTCTCCATCCTTTACCACGGCAGTTCAACATCTTCCTCCTCTGGGTACCAGCCCCCTGCTCATCGCTTTTTACCCACTCAGATCTTCCGTTCATGGCAGTGGAAACTCCCAGTGTGTTGAGGGAGGGACTTCTCCAGTCTGCAGACTGAAGCAGTGTAAGAATAAAGTCTGTGACTTTTGAACAAATCACCAGGGCTAGGATTAAGTGATTCTTTAGTCTGAGGCTCTTCTGGAGGTTAGTGAACCCTTCATTAGGCTATAGTTCAAACTGCATCAGTTCAAGGTTGTGGTCACTTGAAAGTAACCTACACATTGTCCCTTGCCCTCACCGCTTTCATAGTCTATATTGCTGAGCTGTCCGAATTGGAATTTGATTTAGTTATAAACCCAACCTCTATTCTCCTCTTGAAAATGGCAAGTTCTTATCTTACATAATCTCTTTAGAACCTGGAACCAGTTGGCTTTCTTATTTTCTGTTTTTATCCATTTCTGAGTATCTTAGAAGAGTAGGATATTTTAGCTGAACTTTTAATTTTTAGAAGCAGGGGTTGGAACTCAACGCTGTGCTTTTTAAAAATTTAAGTATTATTATATCTATTATTAATTTCAACAGAGTATAACGTATATTTATTCCACAAAATACTTAAGACCAGAGTACACTTGCTCTAACTTGGTTCTTTGTTTACCAAGATTTACTACTCTGGTAAGAGATTATCTTCACTTTATGAACTCATCCTCAGTTATGTATAACCAGCCCTCCATATTTTCTTGTTAAATTTTATTTATTTATTTTTATTGATAAACTTTGGAGAAGTCTAAACCCATCCTGCACACATTAGTGTGCTTTCATAGATATCTATTTGATATTTCAAATCTTGGAGATTTATAAAACTGAATTATAATAGGTACACATAGATATACATCCAAGGGGATATATCACAGAAAGTTTTGATTAATTTCCCTAAATGCAAACAGTATATTTTTGACAGTCTAGTATCAAAGGTATTGGCCCACTTACATTGAGGTATGTGAAACCCAGTGATACCAGTATTGTGAATGACAGACGCTGCTTTCTCCAAAGAGAAATCTATTCTAGTTTGCATATTCCCACTTGTAAATCCCCAATAAGGTTTTTCAACTTTCACAAAAATCTGTTAGGGCATCCTGGACACAAAATACTTTTTTAGTTTAGGGTAAATATAGGCCCCTAATATGGTTTTCCATACTGTAATGAGAAGGAAACTTTAATTATCTGGGCACGTAAATACCTTAAGCACAAAAATGTACACATACATACACACACACACACACACACACACACACACACACACGCACGCGCACACAAAAGAATAACTGCCTAGTTAAACCTAGTTGAACTGTTGAAATAGAGTCAGATATTTTACTATGTCCAATTTTACAAACAGAAAATGGTTCCCCACCAAGACACAACAAACCTGATATTTCAGATAGTCCTTCAACATAAAAAATTTCTGAAACATGGCTTACAAGCCATCTTTTTGAAACTAAACAAAACCAATTAGATTTGCCCAGCATGTTTTATTGCACACTGTTTGGTGGCTCTATTGTCAACAGGAATGCCTTACTGCTCTAGATAGTGCATCACCAACCAGGTGACAAAGAGTGAAAAAGCCAAGAGCTACACCAATTTATTTCAAGACGATTCTGTTGTGGTAACAGGTTCCCATCCTGAAAAACATTATTTTTTACAAGAGAGAAGTTGGGGAAGGCGTCAGCAAGAACCCAGAATGTTATATAAAATAGGTCAATAAAAGGGACAAGCATGAGAAAAAGAATGAAGTGGAGACAATGTGAATATTATTCAGTTTGAAAGATAGTCCTCATTTTTATAAGAAAAAATAATAAACCTATATTTTAGTTATCATTTAACAAAGAAATATTAAAGCTATTCAGAAGATGCCACAACAGTCTCATAAAAGGAAGTCATCTTACCCTTACAGTGAGAAAATGGTCATTTCAATGAGTTTCAGTACATTGTATAAATTTGGAGCTTAAGATGAGTACGTTTTCACGTAGCTGTTAAGCGTTTAGTTAATCTCGAAGTCAACATATGGTTTCCCATCAATACGAGTATTGTCAGAAACAGCTATGAAATAAGCAGATGCTTTCCACTGTTGTTTTCTTGAAGTCTCTGTATTTTATGCTTCATTCGTACAGTGTGTCGTGCTGATAAATGTATACCAGGTTGTTTGTTGAGATGAAGCAATCCATCATATGTACAGAAGCCAAGGATAGGTTACATGTCTTAGTGGGGCTCACGTACAAATGACTGGTTTACTTCAGTGAAGTATAGCTTGTTGAAATGCAAGCATTTCCCTAAAATTGTGATTACGCGTGACATCCTCAAAGATTTACAGTGCCACCGATGGGTCTCTGAAGTTTCATTGAAGCAAGACGGAAAAGGAAGGACAAATCTACCACAATTTGGCCTGACATTCTCTATTCCTAGAAAATCACATATAGAGCCATTGCCATGGCTGATGTCATCCGTTCAAAGAAAAAGGCAAAATAGACGACTCTTCCATTCCATTCAATACAAATATCAGAAATGTTGTGTGAACAGTTAGGGAGAAACGGCTGTGACTTCTCAACAGGGATCTGAAGTGAATCTCAGTTCTGTCCCCGGGTCAAGGCAGTTAGACAGTGCAACAAACCTCTTCTGCGCGTTTTCCCTGCTGCAATTTCCGAGGCAAGCCCAGAAGGTCAAAGAATCACTGAACCTCTTCATTGGAGCATTTCTATTTTGATTCTCTCACCATTTACAACGGGACAACTGCAGGGGGATAATGGCCCTAAATTACAATCGACTTTGGAAGAATAACGGACTTTGTCTTCCTCAATCAAGTCATCAATAGGAAACTCTCTAGCAGTGAGAGCCACCGCTATCTCTTAAGACTATGCTAAGATCTAAATGAAAAGTTTAGCATCCAGGGGCTTGTTAAAAACTGGAGCTTGTATCTAAAGAACTTAGAGACAAATTACACCCATTTGCAAATGAGGTTCTCAAACGTGACACCAAGCTGATTCTATTTCCTTTACGTGGGTGCACGTTCAGGGCACCGAATGTGGTACTTTGCTTTCTGCATCTATTGCTATCTATGGGTGTGTGAATGAGTGCCTGGATTTTTCACCTTTTTAGCATGGCTTTGCTTTTAAGCACTCATAGGTGATATTTAAGAGTAGCTTCAAAATTCTCAAAATTGCAACACAGATAAAGATCATTCCCTGAGGATTCAGGGAACCCTTTGAGTATGACCTCCCCCCACATTCTGTCCTTATTTAGATCCCAAATAAGACCAAGGGATGTGACTGCAGCCCTGTGGATGGACTGGCATACTGTGGGGCACTCAATGACTATTTCTTAAATGAATGAATGATTCAAGAGGGGATATATGAATTAATTTTGACTTGACTAGCATATTAATTGGTACAAGAATCTCATAGTCAGAGCCAGGATTTTCTCTAAGATAGGATCTGGAATCAAATTACATGAACTATCTCAAAGATTTAAGGGTCTGTAATTCAGGGGAAATGCTTGGGAATTCAGATTTACAGAAATTTATAGGAGTAGGAAAAAATCTCCCCAGTTCTTTACAAAAGCACTTGGACAACTTGGCATGGGTGCTTCAAATAAGGAACTTCATTTCCAAAGTTTACAGAAGACCACGCTTTAGTTTCTTTCTGAAAAAAAAAAGTTATATTGTCAAGCATATTAAATTCCCCTGTGATATTTCTATTCGTTAAAGCAGTCCACGGTCAATGAAAACATCGTTTCTAAACTTTCTGCTTTCCATGACCACTTTCTTCATCCTTGATTCCTAGAATGTACCTGAGCTTCAGATTGCTCCCATGTCACCCCCCCCCAAAGTCTCCATGGATCTATTTATTTAACAGATATGCCTGTGTCGCTGGTGTGTGCTAGATTCTGGAAAGGCATTGAGAAGGAAGTCAAATGTAATGCCATGCCAATGTTCACAGTGAGGGACTCCTTAGCGCTTATTCTGGTCAAAATCCCTGGGTCCTCTTCACACATGCTAGAACAAAAGCAAACCCTCACCTCATGGGAGGCATGAAATATTTCCTGCATAATTTGCGTGAGCTTGCTTTTCTGAACATACCCCTTAAATGTGCCACATAGTTTAACCATAAAGCAAACTTACAACCCAGTGACGTAGGCAGTTGTGACAGTCTTAACCATGCAGTAGTACTTACCAGGCTGCAGCTTGTGTGCCAAATGCCTACACAAACACCTCCCTAGGACAGCTCTACACACTAGGCTCTGCTTACACCCAGGAAAACGAAAGCACAGACTGCATGACTTTGCCAAGGTCACCTGATTCGCTGGTGGAGTTGGGGCTTCAACCCATGAAGTCTGACACACTAGTTCATGTGCCTAACCATGATCTGTGGACTGTGGGAGCACTAGTATATTCAAATGGATGAGTCGTTGTATATAGAAATACCCTGAATTTGCAAAGTAGCAAATAAAAGTTGTTAGTAAATTACAACTCATGATAGTCAACAAATCACATCAGAAATAAAAACAAAACAGGGTGAGAACTGAATCTTACTTCATAGTACATTTATGAACAGTACTTCAAGCCAGGGACAGGCATCCAGGTTCCAGATCCAGATAATTTCTATTTGTGAAAACGTTTCAATGACTTCAGACGTATTTATTGTCAGCCACTGTGTCTATCTGGTGCTACAAAAAACCGAAAGAACAAAAACCCCCGCTCTAAGGGCTTCTACATACACAGTGCAGAGATGAACTAAGGCTATTTCATCTTTATAGGGAAGGATTGGCCAATTGTACCGTTTCTCCCCCGTTGCATTGCATGTACATCGTGTCTTTCCAATTGTTTTTGTTGTTTTTACGAAAGAGCTGCAAAATTGTGCAGTGGTTCAACCTGACCAAAGTGGTATTATGCTGCTGGGAAGTAAACGTATTAGACACCAGACTGGACATACTGTTTTTATTCACATCCCAGGGATCATCGGACGCTGAGCCATGTGTTTATTTGGATATGAAGTCTCATATGTGTATTCCTAACATAGGTTTCGATCTTGCTGTGTAGGGTTGAGGTTCTTTCCATAAAGAAAGAACACAAGGTCTTCTTTCCCATTTCCCCTTCCCTGCAGAGACTCGATTTTACAGCGGGGTTGTTGAATGCTACAAGTGGATACCAGAACCAGTATGGTTTTTGAAATCTCGTCACTTGTTTTGGATGTTTTCTTCCACACCTTTCTAAGCTTTCCTACAGAGAAGTAACCCCGAGTTTTAGAATCCTGCCCATGCTACCCCACCTAGCCATTTTTTTCTAACATGAATGCTGGGGATTTGAACTCACATTCTCTTGATTATATAGCACTTTACTCTCTGGGTCCTCAGACAGAGATTTATCTCTTACTCACTCAGCTTTCCTGACCTGATTTTTATCCTCAGAATGAACTTGGAGATTTGTGTCAATATTTTTCACCCTCACCCCCACCATCTCCCACTTTCCCCACACACATTATTCCATGGGAGAAAATTCCAAGAAGCAAAAGTGGATTTCAAATTATCAGCTCAGCTATAGGGCGCCTTTCCTACCCTGCTCCAGTTGTGAGACCTTGTGGGCCTAATAACCATCCTCTTAACTGCTTCGGTTATGCAGGTGAATAAAGGCAACTAATAAATAGTTACTAATAAAACTCAAACCATTTATTCAGCCTTAATGTTGTCAACATTAGCTTTACCTGAGATTAGAATTTATATTCTAGTATAAATTAGACAAGCATCCCATAGAGGATCAAGTGGAAAGGGCTTAGTAGCCAGTATGGTCTTAAAGCTTGGTGGGTGTTGTTGAGCTCCCTTGAAAGTGGGTACCGGGTCTCCAGCCCCCTTCCTTTTCTTTCTCAGATTTTAACCATGTGGTCAATGGATTTGTTACCCCATACACATCACAATGTTGCATCACCATAGGACCAAAGCAGCAGGGCCAACGAGTCGTGAACTGATGCCACAAAAACTGTGAGCAAAGTGAACTTTCCTTCTTTATGCCTTAGTTTCTCTCTGGTATTTAGTCACGGGGACAACAAAAGTGACTGACACATACAAATATTACCTGTACTGAGTCTGTATAAGGGACCAAGTTTCTCTCATTCATTTGAATGATGAAAACCTACAACACCCAAAAGGAAATAGTCACAGCCTATATGTTTTCATTAAACTAGATTACAGAAAGGAAAAACACATGAGTATCATTTCAAAGAATCCTATTGTTACCTGGAAGCTTTTGTTTATTAACTGCACCACAATTTAAAAAAAAAAGTAAAAGGTGTGGAAGAGCAAGAGGCAGACTGGTTGCCAAGGGGTGGAAACACGCGGAGAGGCTGCACATGGGCCTGCCCTGCAGCGTGAGGATTCAGAATCCAGCCCTCACCCGGCCCGTGCATTTTCTCTGAGAAACCTATAAAAAAAAGTTCCACTGAAAACTCGCACTTCAGCTCAATGTCACTGGTCCCCTTCATTTCCCAGAAGGGCCTCATTGCCGAGAACACAGTGTGTGGTCAACCCACACCGAAGAAATAACAGTGCGACCGAGGGTCAGTTTAACCTCCTTCGATCCACAGCATGATTTGAAGGGATTCTCTTTTTCTGTTGCAAGTAATCAAAACCAGCAGCGGGTTCCAAGTTTTAAAGAGAAAATGAGTCAATTCCAAAGCAGACACTATCCATGCCTCAATAATAAATGTCCTGCTTCTTACCCTTACCTCTTTCTTGGGTCTGCCTATCTCTCCTCTTTCTGTTTCTTTTTTTTTTTCCTGCTACAGTTTTTTTTTTCCTTATAAGTCATGCTCCTCTGCCCAGGAGAATCAGGCCTATACCTTCATAGCTATGAATTTAAGAACAAAACTGAGGCCCGGAGAAATGGCCTTAGAAGCTAAGAAAGATCAGTTCCTAGCACCCGTACTGAGCAGTTCACAACTGCCTGTAACTCTAGCTCCAGAGACCTGAGGCTTCATACCTTACACTCACATTCACATAGGCACATACTCATGTGTGATTAAAAATGATGCATGAACAAATAAAGAAAAAAGCAAATTCTTTTTTTGGTGTCAATATCTCATAGGAAGATTCTGAATGACATTCTTTGGTTCTGGTCTCTTAATAAAACAAATCACTATAAGATAAATGATTGACTGAACTCAGGCAAGAAAGATTCTCATATCCACTAAGTCTCTATGTAGTAGCTGCACAGAAACCAGGAGGAGAGGGACACCATGGCTCTGGTATAAAGCAAGCCAAGAACTGCCCCAGAAAACACATGTTCAAAAGCAGACTGAGTTATTTTGATAACACTGAATTACTGAGATAACATTTTAATGAAAAAATTAGAGATACCTTCCTGAAACAGAAACCACAAAATCAAATGTTTCAAACTAAATGGGGCCTGCCATGTATGAAGGAGGGCTGGATTAGCACTGGACAGACATTGGTTGCAAGAGCTTCAGGACCACAAACCTTGCCTTATAACAAGGAAGGTCACCTATATTGGATGGTATCAGCTGGGAAGTTATTCTGTTTTTTAAGCTCGGCAGCTTAAACGGAAGACCAATAAGGAAGCCATCCTCAAGAAGCTCTTATATAATGTCAATATCGGAATACAGCCCCTTCAGGAAGTCAGTGAACAGAAAATTGCACCGACAGTGACAAGCTTGTTTGTGTGTCATCACAACATAAAATTGATAATGTATGAGTGTTTACTAGGTATCAAATGCCTTATTCAGTATCAACTACTTTCGTATTTCAAGACTTTAATGTCTCTTACTTGTCACATCACAAAGAAACCCAGGACAAGTCTCTGTAACTCTAGCTTCTTCTAACACTTTGCCCCTCAACCCTTACCCTAAACCTCTCCCTCCCAGAACTGGGCTTCCATTTCACTTCCCCCAGCTTCTGATTACATAACCTCAGACGTTTTGGCTCCAAATCTGTCTGTACTTTACTAGCCCCTGGTGGTCTCCCAGATCCTGGGCAGCAAGCAGGTAGGGAAACACTTCTTCCAGTCTGCACTCCTCCCTTCCTGTAGTTCTTCAACCATCAATCCAACCTTCCTGGGTCCCTATACATCCTCTACATTTCAGCAGGAAGACAGAAGAAATTACTTTGGTCTTTACCATCAACAAAATCTGGAATGTCAGTGAAAATTTTTTTCAGCCTGATAAACCTCTCTGCCAACACAATAACCCAAATCAGACCACATCAACCAAATTAGAAAAAGTTCAGGTTGAATGGACGCCAGTGCTTCTGGGTAACATTCCAGCCCCCAGAGAAGAAATGGGGAAGGAAGACCAGGAAACCATGTGTTTGTTCTCTAGGAGACAGTTTAAATACCCTGTGGGAGTGGTCTTGAGCATCTCTGGAGAGGGGTCACTGTTTGGTGGGCTTTCTTCCAAGTGTAGCCTGGACTGAGGCAACTCCCAGGGGAGGGGTCTTGGGATGGAACTTTCTACCCAAACATTCCAGACTCTTTTTGGATATATGGGTACCAGGGGCTGAGGCAACACTTTCACCCAAACATCCCAGATTCTTTGGGTATATGGATGCCAGGGGCTGGGGTGAAGCTTCCAACCAAATATCACAGACTCTTTGGGTGTAGGGGTTTTGATCAGAGAAGCAAAGAAGCCACAAGTCCTCTTCTACCTCCTTCCTTCTTCCAGAAGCGCTGAGGTCCCCCTCCACCCCACCTTACTACTTTTTGTCCTATCTATCTACAGTCCTCCAAAGCCTTTGTAATTAAATTTGATTAGCTAGTGGCTAGCTCCAACCTCTGACTCCAAGCAAGCTTTATTTGTTAGAACACGATCAAAATATCACACACAACAGACAAGGTCTGGCACTGTAGTGCAGGTTGGTTTGGCATTCACGATGTATCTCAGGTGGCCATACACTTACAGTACTCTTCCTGAGTGCTTGGATTGCAAGTGTGAGCCTCCATATCAGCTATGATTTGGGCTGGATCTCTTGTGTCATGATTGACGGCAAATTCTGAAATAGATGGGCACAATGCAGCCTCCTTATTGAGAGTCTAATTCTCCATTTAGATTATGAAAATGTGTGGTGCACTTTGATTTCAATTTTGATTCTTTACTGTAATTCTGGGCTAATGAAAAGAGAAAACTCCCTTCAGCATTTTATCGTAATTGCCTTTCTAGATTGCATTTAGTTTAGGGGAAGAAAAATGTCGAATCCATTCAAGTAATTGTCGATCTTAATGTACACAGTTGCAAATGCAAGCAGTGACTTTGCAAAGAGCCCTAATGTCTGATAAAGAACAGAACTCAAAAGACAAGGAATTTCTGATCTTGAACTTGGTTGTGTTTCTTTTACTAATAAGCCCCTCCTAGACTGACCTAGTGGTCTGCTTCTCTAAAATTAAGAATGTTGAAATCACTAAAACATATCGGTGAATGAAAAAATAAGGACATGTGATATGGGATTCCCTTCTGTGTGTTGTGAATATGTTTTATTGCCATTGGTTAATAAAGAAGCTGCTTTCAGTCAATGACTTAAGAGAATATAGCCAGACTGGAAAAGATACATAGAGAGGGTAGGCGGAGTCAAGAAGAAGCCAAGTAGCCACCACAGGAGGCAGATGCTGGATGCCGAACAGAAGCTTACTGGTAGGCCACAACCACATATTGATACACAGATTAATAGAAATGGGTTGATTTAAGATATAAGAACTAGCTAGAAATATGCATAAGGTCATAGGCCAAGCAGTATTTTAATTAATAGTTTCTTGATACTTATTTCAGGTCTAGGCAGCTGGGAAATGAACAAGCAGCCTCCCACTACAGACATGGGCTTCCCCAGGGTATGGTTTCAGAGATAGTATATTGTATATTTGATATGAATGAAGCCAGAGGCATTGGGAAGGGTCTAGACTAAACATGGCCAACATACTGAACTAAGTTATAAGAGGAGAGGGAGGAGAGCAAGACAGGAAGAGGAGGGGAGGCAAATGAACCAACAGAGATCTGGCAGCAGAGCCGACCAAGTGCCAAGAGAGCAAGAGACCTTGTAGCCAAAATGGATGAGGTTATACAGGAAAGAAAAGCTGGGGGAAGGGAAACAGAAGCCAAGCCCTGGAGAGGGAGAGCTTTAAGGTAGGGAGACAGATGAGAATTGCTGGACGGGGTTTCAGATACTGAGGGAGACTTACATCAAGTTTCATTGAGACCTAATAAATACAAGTAGCTTTAAACAGACTGATTAAGTTATATATTAGAAATTCACACTCATGCACACACACACACACAAATAAATATATCATACATATATGTACATGACAATAATTAATGAAAAAGAGAAAAAGAGACCATGAATTTTAAAGAAAAGAAGAAGGGACATATGGAAGGGAGAAAGGGAATCGATGGGGCTTGT